CAAGGTCATCCAGTTAGCCAGTGGCAAAACCAAGCATAGTTCCAGGTTACCTAATTTCTGATATAGTGCACGTGCCTAAACTTTTTAGAAGTAGACTTTTTTTTTTTTTTTTTAAAGAGAGTTTTTTTTTTTTTCTATAAGCATTTTTTAAAGAGAGATTTTTTTTTTTGCTATAGAGCATGTGTGCTCACCGGAGGGACAGAAAGAGACAGAGAGACAGACAGAAAGTGAGAAATCACCCCGCGGGGGATGGCCACACCACAATCCCTTCTGTTCTAGTCACGTCTTAGGATCGTGGGCATGTGTACGCATGTGCCTGGGGTAAGTGTAAGCTGCCAGGTATGAGAATTGAACCACAGTCAACTACGTGGGCGTCCATCAATATAAGCATTACACCATCTGCTGGTCCCTAGAAGTGAATTTTGAAGGAGGATGGAATGCCTCGGTCCATGGGCAGTTTTTCCCATGAAGGCCAGAAGATTCCTGAGCTTGTTTTAGTGTTTCTCTGGCTGAGGATGCCTTGCCTCTACTATGGAAGCCTGGAAACAGCCAACTGTGAATTCTGAAAGGGTTCATTTGGAAAGACACCACACAGAAGTGGACCGTGTATCTTGTGCTTGTTCAGTATGTACTTTGATGTCTGCAATTTTTTAAAAAATAAATTTTATTGGGACCAGCAGATGGCATATTGGTTATATTGCTAGACTCCCATGTAGTTTATCATGGTTCGAGTCCTGGACCCAGTGGCTTAAATCTTGCCCTGGGCACATGTGCGTGTGTGCCCAAAATCCCATGAGGAGAATGGAGGTGATTTCTCACTTCCTGTCTGTCTTTGTCTCTCCGGTGAATGCACATGCCCTATAGCAAAACTCTCTCTTAAAAAAAAAAAAGACAGACAGACAAGGGCCAGCAGGTGGCGTGTAGTGGTTAAGGGCGCTGGACTCCCACATGGCTAACTGTGGTTCGAGTACCAGACCTGGTGGCTTGCTTTCTCACTTTTCCTCTAGCTCTAGCCCTCTCTGGTCAACTTTAAATAAATAAATAAAGTTAAACAAAATAATTCTTTTTAAAAAGGGAATTAAATTTTATTATTGTCACCACTCTTTAATTTGCTGCAGGGCACATATGCTTACCAGAGAGAAGTAGAGAGAAAGTGAGAAAGCAAACCACCAGGTTCGGGACTCGAACCATAGTCAGCCATGTGGACAACCAGCACTTCATCCACCACACCACCTGCTGGCCCAATGTCTGTGATGTTTTTTTTGCCTTCATGTCTGATCCCTCTGCTTAATTTCCAGTAACTCATTTAGCTCTTATAATCCCCCCTAGGATAGTTTTTATTCTCAGCCATTTCAGGTTTAGGGATCAGCCATTATTTTTTATTTTTTGGAGAGATTTTTGCTATAGGGTACGTGCACTTGCCAGAAAGACCAAGAGAGACAGAGAGAAAACGAGAAATCACCCCCTCGGGGGGATGACCACACCGTAATCTCTTCTCCTTTATTCTCCTCTTGGGATCTTGGGAATGCATGCACACATGCCAGGCATGCATGCACATGCGCCCAGCATGAGTTTAAGCCACTGGGTCTGGGACTTGAACCATTATCAACTACATGGGAGTCCAGCGACATAGTCATTACACCAATTGCTGGTCCCAAGAATCAGCCATTATTTAAGTAGGATGCCCAGGCTCTGAAGAATAACTCAAAAAGATAGCTGCTGTAACGGAAGAATCCCCCTCACTTCTACTTGCTTTAAGTCCTTGCTGGGGCAGAAAAGGGAGCACCAGCATTCTCCACAAAGGGAAAATGTAAAGTTCCAGTCTGGACACTCTCCAGTTCTCCAGATTCTTAAAGTCAGCAGCAAGGACTTAGTCTGGCACCTTTACCTAAGGGAGGGCGGGATGAGTATCTTCTTACTCATCCAGTGAAACAGATTACAGTGCACCTTTGTATTGAGCACAGGCCAAGTCCTCAGCCAAGGACCTTGCAGGGAAGAACTAAACACTGAGCCTGCCCCAGGCCTAGCCAAGAGGGGCACCCAGCCAAGAGGTCTTTTTGCTCATCCTGGGCACCAAGCCTTTGCAGAGACAACCCAACCTGCCAAAGGAGGGTAAAGACTACATAGAGACAGCACTGACTACCTTAGACTCCAGCTCCGTGACTGGGTTGCAGAGCTAAGAGACTATAGAAAGACATCAATCTAGTTCACCATGGGCAACTTGCACTGGTTAATTTCTCTTTTGTTAAGGCTGACAAAAGTAAAAATGTTTATAGTCAGTGTGGTTGCTCACTGTGTAAAGCACTTTGCCAATCACCAGGTGCCTGCAAGAACACACAGAGTGGACAGAACAGCCTGGGCTTGAGAGAAGACAGTGTGATCCCCAGCCTCCATCTTTCTTTCCTCCTCTGTAGAGGGCAGTGAATGCAGTATTTGAAGAGTGCATTAGACACCATCACTGAGGACAGTCACGAACATACCATAGAGATGATACTAACGTTCCCTGAGCGCTCACTGTGTGCCAGACACTTCTCAAGCTCTTTACCAATATTAACTCATTCTTCTAACAACCTGATGAGGCCTACATCTATTAGTACTGAGGCTTGTGAGGAAGGTACTATGCACGCATGTTTACAGGAAACAGGTCCTGAGATGTTAAGTAACATTCCCAAAGTCACACAGATAGTGAGTGGTGTAACTGGGATTTGAAGGCACATGTCATAGGGATTGAAAGCACAGACTCTGGAACAGGACTGTCTAAGTTAAATACTCAATAAATTTTCATTGTAATAGTTCAGTAAGTGTTTTTTAGTTTTTAGGATTTTGTCATGGGGTACATGTGCTTGTCAGAGAAAGAGAGACAGAGAGATGGAAAGAGAGAAATCATTCTTCAGGGGAGATGACCATGCTGCAATCCCTTCTCCTCCATTCTCCTTAACAAAAATTTGTTAACGATGATGAGAAGATATGCCCCTTTTCATGCCAGCTTCTACGGCAGCAGTCATTCCCCCCATTTGCTTCCCACTCCTAAATACCTTACTGGGATAGGCAAATACATTATTTTCACTGAAGAAAAACAAGAAGGGACAGTAACTGTCATGGATGGGAGAACACAACCCTTTTTTAAGAAGGCATTATTATTCTGCTCCTGCAAATTACTGTCAAGTGGAAAAACAAGCTCCATGTTGATAGCCTCTCCATTTTTTCAAAACAAGTATATTTTAATGTTAAATATACTTTCAAAATGTCAGGCCAATTTTGTGTATTTACTGAGTTGGAAGCAGGTTGGGGTTAAACTCCGCATCACTCAATTCAACAGTTTGGCATGTAACAGGAACTCAGTATTTGTTCAAAGAAGTCTTGTTTACTTTCATCCTTCCATTAAACTGAAGGAGAGAGCCTGAGCAAGCGATAAAAGATAAAGGCCCTTATATCATTGTCAGGAATTAGTCATTCCAGTGTTATTTTATTTCCATCTGTCAACCTAGATTCTAAGCAACATGAAGGCAGAGGTCACATTATTCATCACATCCGTCTCCAACACAATGTCTCAGAAATACTTGCAGTTGTTGAACCCATGACTAAGTAAGTAAAGTCTTGATTAAGTAACCAATTTACCTTTAGATCATGAATTTACTGTTAAAATGAAAATGTCTCTGTAGTCAACTCAGTACTTGGCATGCTGACCCAAGAAGTGTGGCAAGGGAACATCCCTCACTCCACTCTGTTATACATGGCAAATACTGGTGGAACAAGGTGGGACAGGATGTATGGTATCCGACCATGAAAGTGTGACAGCTCTTGGGATCAGTCATGTCCAAACTCATGGTGTCTGGCTCTCAACCTTAGCCCTAAAGGTTACCCCCAAGTTTTATACCTCCTGGTCCACATTTCCGCCATTTAGGATTTCTCCCCTCATTGCTCTGGGTGCTGGTTTCTGTAGGACCATCCTCTAGGGACAGGTGGTTTGGGGGGTCTTAGTGGTGGGCACTGGCTTGCTCTTTCTTCCTCTGTAGTTCCTCTCGCCGTCTCGCCTGCTGTTCACTCATGCAGTCCCTGAAGGCCTGCACCTGTGGCTGGGACCGCCGCCCGGCCTGGGGGCCACTCCTGCACTGCAAAATGGGAGGCAGCACAGCCAGAGCGGGAGATGAGCTGGTCCAGTGGGTCCTCTTCCTCATCTTCCTTCTTCACCTGTCGGGCCCATGCATGGCCTTGAGGGGCTGAGGTTGACATCCTGGGGAGTCTACAGAACATCAACAGAGAGACGGTTAGGACAGGGATATGACTGTATGTAAGGTTCCTGTATTATAAGCAGTACTGCCAAACTGCACTTTGAGTTCTGATAATGGGCCTGATTTACACTGATGTCCCCAACACTATGCCTGGTCGACTGCATGTCTGTGAAGTGGTTTGACGTGAACTGACAGAAAAAATGTGAGAATGCTGACTGCGACACTCAATAAATTCAGTGGATTCTGCTCAGGGAATTTGAATTAAGTGAAATAACATCTTTTTGAAGATGCTATCTCTGATCCATCTCAAAAGAACAAACTTTTCTTTTATCCTATTGGTCTTATTCTATGCCTGAAGAAGGCAAGGTTTAACACTTAGAAGGGTACCCAAGTACAGTTAGTTTTTGGTACATGAGGAACGGGAAGAGTTCAGTGGTTGTAGCACAGATCATGCAGAGGCCAGGGCAAGAGATGAGTCTATACGAACTGAGATGTCGGGGCTGGCAGGTGGCATGGTGGTTGGGGTGCTGGACTCCCACATGGCTAACTGTGGTTTGGGTCCCAGACTGGCAGCTTGCTTTTTCACTTTCCCTTTCTCTCTCTCTGGTCAAATTAAAAAACAACAACAAAAATTAGTAAGTACAAAATTCTTTAAAACGTTTTTTTTAAAAAAGAAGTGAGATGTCTTTCTCAAGTATACAAAAATGTAAGGTATATTTGCCCAGATATCATGGGCAAATGTTCCTAATATCATCTGCTTTAGAGTACCCAGAAGAAGGCAGTATACAGAAAGAATTAACAAGGCCAGTCCGATAATACAGTGGTTAAGGGAGCCGGATGCCACATGGCTGACTATAGTTCAAATCCTGGCCCTGTCAGTTTGAAAAACAAACCAGTGCATTTACATTTGCATCCCAAATCCTGACAGGAAAGAGAAATGGAGAATGGACTATGGCATGACCACATCCCACAGGGAGTACTTTCTCTGTCTTAATCTCTCTTTTTTTCTGGCAAGTGCATTCACCTTCTGCAATAAACAAATCAGTAAAGCAAAGAAGAAAGGTTTGAATATAAATTACTTCAGCCTTTACATACATTCCATCATGATGAGCTGCAAAGCCGCTAGAAGTCCTTAATGCCTTTCTTGTGACTCATTCATTCCATAAGTGATTATTAAGTATCTACCACACACCGGGCACTTTACTAAAGTTGAGGATACAGTTCCTACTACCCTCATGGAGTTTACAATCTAGACAATAAAACAAGCTGTTTCCTATGCAGTGTGTATAGACAAATATAACTGGGAACACAGTAAAACAAGCTGTTTCCTATGCAGTGTGTACAGACAAATAAAACTGGGAACACAGTAAAAGAATACCTAATTCAGACAAGGGCAGGAATAGGCAGGGAAAGATTCCTGGAAGTGATTTCTTTCTTTCTTTCTTTCTTTCTTTCTTCCTTTCTTTCCTTTCTTTTCTTTCTTTCTTTCCTTCCTTCCTTCCTTCCTTCCTTTCCTTCTTTCCTTCCTTCTTTCCTTCCTTCTTTCTTTCCTTCTTTCTTTCCTTCCTTCCTTCCTTCCTTCCTTTCCTTCTTTCCTTCCTTCGGGACTCAAACTACAGTCAACTACATGGGAGTCCAGTGACAGCCATTATGCTAACTGCTGGTCCCCTCCTGGAAGTGACTTCTAAGCTGAGACTTGAAGGATGAATAGGAGTTGGCCAGAGATGGGGAAAATATTTCTGGCCAATGAAAGAACACGCATTTGAGACAGGATTTGACATGAAGTAAAAGTTCAGGGACAATAATATATAAGAACAAGACAATGAGGGTTGGCAGGTGGCATAGTGGTTAAGGGCGCTGGACTCCCACATGGCAGAACATGGTTTGAGTCCCATACCTGGTGGCTTGCTTTCTCATTCCCCCCTCCTTTCCCTCACTCTGTCCCTCTATGATCAAATTAAAATAAATACATAAAGTTAAATAAAATAATTCTTTTAAGCTTTTTAAAAGAATATTTATTAATTTTATTTATTAATTCATTTCTTATTTTAATTTGACTAGAGAAAGACAGGCACACAGAGACAAGGAAAGTGAGTATACACACAACCAGGGACTCAAACTGCAGTCGGCCATGTGGGAAAGTCCAGAGCCTTAGCCACCATGCTACCTGCCAGCCCTGATAAAAGAATTCTTAAAAAAAAAAAAAAGACAATGAAATTGGAGATATGACTGTCTCTGGCCTTGCCTTTCACCCTGTGTGCAATATGTCTGATCACAGCAAGGCTTTGTGAGCTCCATTAAGGTATTTAATTAACTTTCTCCTGAAGGCAATGGGGAAGTTCCAAGTGGGATTTAAGTACTCTATAGCTCTAATGGTTGGTATAACTGATGGTGTAATGGTGAAACAGTCTTGCATTAGAAACCTGGCTCTGTCACTGCCTCAATAGGCTTCCTGGGGCAAAAGTCACTTACTCTCTCTTGAAAAACAGAGATGATAATGTTTGTAAGGAGCCCGGTATTACTATTGAACTCGGTGGACATACCCGGATCCTTACAAACATTATCATCTCTATTTTTCAAGAAAGATTATTACTGTCCGTTTCCTCTTCCTAAACGCACTGTGAACTCTTTTAAGGCCAGGAACAAACCTCTTAGGGCAAGAAAGGTAGAACGGAGCTTTGAATCCAAAGTCAAGAGATCGGGGTTTGAATCCCAGCACGCCTTACAATGTAACCTTTTAAATTTCAGCTTCCTTATTAATACTTAACTTGGCAGAATTAGAATAAAGCATAATACAATGAATGAAAAGCGCTTGACTACAGCTCAATACATGTTACTGGACTTTTCCTCCACCTTCCTGGCTTCAGTCTCTCCTACAGTAAAATGAGGACGAGCCCTGCTCAGAGGCAGTACAGGCGAGGCCGTAGGCAGCCGAATGATGGAGGCTGACCTGGACCGGGAAGGCACAGCAGGGATAGGAAAACAGAAATTCAGGCGTCCAGGTCACAAAGCTCCTCCCCTCCTTTCAGCAGAGACCACGCGCACGCGCACGCCCGCCATGCGCATCCCAGTGGTGCCCGCAACGCCTCCCCGCGCACGGACGCGGTACGCGGTGCTCACCCACAGGTGGGAGAAGGACTCAGACGCGCGCTCCAGTGCGAAAGCGCGGGTCTTGCAGGCTCTTCCGTCACTCCTCACAAGAGCCAGACTTCGCAGGGAGCGCGCGTGCGGGAGGGGCGGGGCATCCCGCCGAGCATTTTCATTGGTGGCTGCCGGTGTAGCTCCCACCCTGTGACTTCCTCGCTCCCTTTTCGGAGGCCCACTTCCGGGGAGGGGCGGAAGAGGCGGGCTGGTGGGGGTGGGGCAAGATGGCGGCGCCATTGAGGATTCAGAGCGACTGGGCCCAAGCTCTCAGGTGACTGCAGGGCCAGGACAGGGCAGAGAAGGCGGGTAGCGGCTGTTGCCTTTGCGGCAAGGACCTAGCATGGCTTGTTCAGGATATCTATAAGGGTTACTCCATCAAATTTTGAGCGAGTTGGAGGGCACAGGTTCTAGAAAAAGAACTCTTAAACCCACACGGTCATTGCTTTAAATTCTCTGACTAGCTAGCTACTCTTGGGCTAAGGGAACATATCTACACAGTGTGGCCCCTTTGTCAGATTTAGGATCAGTGAGTTAGAGAAAGGGAAACTGGGAAGCAGGAAGACCATGAATTATTTACAGAAGTCCCAGTGCTCACCACTATGTTGGTGATGGAATCTTTGTGTCCATTTAAGCCCCTACTGCCATATTAACCAGGTTGGGTGAGTCAATTTAGGAAACAGTGTAACACCCACCATTCCCAGGCTCTGTACTATGTGCAGCTCAGATTTGTGCTTTAAATTTAAGTGATGGTTCCTGATCTTCAAGAAGCTGACATCTCAATTGAGAATACACAGCAAACCATTCATTCATTTAATATACATTTGCGGATCATGTACCATGCCATTTATTTCTATAAGTGTTGGGATGTGTACAGCAGTGCCGTAACTGACAACTATTTTATTTGTTTATTTTAAGATCTGTGATAGGGTGTGCACTTGCCAGAGAGAGACAGAAACAGGAGAGAAAGTGAGAAAGCACCGCCCCAGGGGAATGACCAGACTGCAGGCCCTTCTCCTCCGTTCTCCCCTTAGGATTTGGGGCATGCATACTCACATGCCTGGTGTGTTTTTGAAGCCACCAGGTCTGGGACTCAAACAGTGCAGTAGACCATGTGGGATCAGCTATCTTAACCATCTGCCACCTGGCTGACCCAGAGAACTTTTTTTTTTTAAGTTTATTTTCATGAAAGATTGACAGGCACCCCAAACAGCATGTTTACACTGTAATCCACCCCCAAGCACCTGTCCTTGGACACACCAGCATCATCTGGCCCTATAAATGGCAACTCATATTAAATGAGGGTTTTCCAAGTTGAAACGATGGTGAAGATGAATTAACTACAGTCTTCTGCATTTAAGAAAGTATACGTTACCATATAGGCTAAAATAAAATAGATTACTTTTTTCTTTCTTTATGACACATGTGCATGAGCATGTGTCTGTGAGAATGAAGTAAGCACAGTCCAGAGGGTCTGGTCATGCCCTGATCCTCTTCCAGTTCTCTAGCCCTCTAGCCCAATGGATCTCCAGCAGTCATTCATGCCTGGTGTATTTCAGGTGACTATGCCAGCAGTTTGACCCATGGTCACCATGTGGCATCTCTCCCTCATTTTTAAAAATTTTACTGTAAGGCATTTGTGCTCATTAGAAAGAAAAAGAGAGAAAAAGTGGGAAAGCAGCTCCGAGGGAAGATGGCCATCCCACAGTCCCTTCTCCATTCTCCTCGGGATTTTGAGCACACACACAGATGTGCCAGGTGTGTTTTTCAAGCCTCCAGGTCTGGGACTTGAACCACTTGGTCAAATGGGATCCAGCCACCTTTAACCACCACTACATGACTGGCTGGCCCCTGTCTTCTCTTGAGCAGTGCATTACAACAGTGCCACAGAACTGGTACCCTGACTTTTTTTTCCTTTTCAGGTTACTTTGAGAACACAATGTGATAAGTAACGAAAAAGAGTAACATTAAATACCTTCAGGTGCCTCTGAAAGAATGCAGGATTGGAATCAGAGAATAGGACTTGCCCATTACCATGCAGCAGGCTGTATGAAAGAGGGTTGCTATCAGTGTAGATCTTTCTCTCTGAAAAGCCCTTTCCAGGCTAGCTGGTGGCTTGGTGGATAAGGCAGTTAGATCCCACATGACCGACTACACGATTCAAGTCATAGACTTAGCAGCTTGATAAACATGCCAGACGCATGTGCACAAGAAGGGATTGCAGCATGGCCACCATAGAGGGTGCTTTCTCACTTTCTCTTTCTGTCTCTTTCCGGTAAGCATGTACCCTATAGCAAAAACAACAACAACAAGACCTTTCCATCATAGGTGAAGGGATCAGGCTTTAGATGATTGAAGAGGGACATTCTAAAACATGTAAAAAAATGTGATGTTTTAGAAAGCACACACTGGTTCCATGTTTTGATACCTACTTCATAGCTAGGTGATTTTGGCCAAGTCACTGTCAGAGCTTCAGTTTTTTTATCTTCTACATGGGGAAACTAAAATGTACATTTGATTTTGTGAAAATTAATGATGGCTATAGCAGAGTGCCTAGCACAGGGCTTGGCGTACAGTAACCTCAATAAATTATATAAATAGCCTTGATTTTTCTTTCTTCTTTTATAAAAAGAAATTATTAACTTTATTTTTTTTAATTTGCCCGGAGAGGGACAGAGAAAGAGAGAAAGTGAGAAAGCAAGCCCCCAGGTCCAGGACTCGAGCCATAGTCGGCCATGTATGAGTCCAGCACCTTTAACCAACACACCACCTGCTGGCCCCTTAAGAGAGAGAATTTTGCTATAGGGTGCTTGTGCTTGCCAGGAAGACAGACAGAGACAAAAAGCAAGAACTCCCTGCTCCTCCATTTTCCTCTCAGGATTTTGGACATGCACGCACACATGGCCAGCGTGTTTCAAGCCATTGGGTACAGGACTTGAACCACAGTCAACCATGTGGGAGTCCAGTGATGTAGCCATTACACCATCTGCTGACTCCTAACTTTGATTCTTCAAAGTGAACATTTTTTTTAAGAATTTATTTAAATTTATTTATTATTATTTTTTAATTTGACCAGAGAGACAGAGGGACACAGAGAAGGAAAGTGAGAAAGCAAGCCACCAGGTCCAGTACTCAAACCGTGGTCAGCCATGTGGGAGTCCAGCACTTTAACCACCATGCCACCTGCTAGCCCCCAAAGTGAACTCTTGATGTTAGTATTTGAGCATTAATTTTTTTTTTAAAGAATTACTTATTTGTTACTACTTTTAAAATTTGCTATAGGGCATGCGAACTCACCAGAGAGAGAGAGACAGAGAGAGAGAGGGGAGAGTGAGAAAACAAGCTGCCAGGTCTAGGACTTGAACTGTGGTTAGTCATGTGGTAGTCTAGCACCTTAACCACCACGCCTTCTGCTGGCTCCTGAGCATTAATTTTACCTATAGATATCTATTAAAGTATTCCATCCATGAGTATTCCCTTGAGAAATAAAATTTGACTGCCTTAAAATAATCTTTGTCTGGGGGCCAGGAGGTGGTGTGGTGGTTAGAGGCTCTGAATTCCCACATGGCTGATTATGATTTGAGTCCCAGACCTCGTGGCTTGCTTTCTCACTCACCGCCCCCTTCCCCCTCCGCCGCTCTGTCTCTCTCTGGTCTAATTCAGTAATAATAATAAATTAAATAATTCTTAAAAAAAATAATAATCTTTGCCCCGATAGGAGGTGGGACTTAATCAGTCTGCTGACCAAAGAGGAAATTATATTACCTTCTTCCTCCCCATGTACTGATGGCATTCTCTTTAACTTTGGGTGAGCCTAATTAGGCTTTCATCTCTTCAACAGGAAGGATGAAGGGGAGGCCTGGTTGAGCTGCCATCCTCCAGGTAAGGTCCATAAATCTGTATACCTTCCCCTTGATGAAGTCTTTACACTCCTAAAAGAAAGCCTTCTACTTTGTCCTGGCCCAGCCTCCTTGCACAGTGCTCCTAGTATGTGACCAGTCTGTTCATTGTTGACGTTACACATCTCCTCCAGTTCCGGAGACGACCCTTAAGTTGTTTTTTAATTGGAAGTCATAGACTTATTCATGGAGACATCGCAAATTCACTTATATATTTATGTAAGAGAACACAGCGTGTGCTTGAAAGAGATCCCCCTCAATGGTATCTGTTCAGACTGGTGTCTGTTCATACTCAATCCTTTTTCCTCCAGTTCTTCATCCCATCAGGATCCTAGGCACATGTGCATGGACCCAGTGTGAAGCCTATGGGTCTGGGATTAGAACCCTGGTTGGCCACGTGAGATCTGGCTTTCTATGTGCAGCACCTAATCACTGTGCCATGGGGCCAGCCCTGCTAATTAATCTTAAATTAGTCCCTCAACTAATTTAAGAATGTTTTCTTTCACTTGATGATGATTCCTAGATCCATATCCTCAACCTGACCTCTCTGTAAGTTTAAGGACAGGTTGATTGCTGCACATTTCTACTTGAAGGTCTCAGTGTCATCTTGACTTACTCACATCCAAAATCAAGCTGGACACATTCGTTGTCAAATGGATTCTGTTTATTGATTTTCCTATTTCTCAAGTTATCATCATTCTTTTAGGCATCAGAATAGAAAACTAGTTATTTCACCCCACCGTATCTAGACAGCTCTGAAGTCTTTCTAGTTTTTTATTTGACAGACAGATGCTTCCTTTGTCATTCTTGACCATTTGGTTCCCAGTAGCTGGCATAGTATCATTCCAAAAAACAAAAATTTCTAAATTCCGTCAGAAAGGTTTGTTTTACTCTTTATTTTTCATTTCAGATACCATTGGTATACCATTTCATTTTAGATGCCATTTTTAATTCTATGAAAAATGAAGTTTTTATTTTGCCAGAGAATGCGTGTGCTCACCAGAGAGAGAGAGAGAGAGAGGGAGATGGAGAAAGCACCCTCCAGTGGCTCATGGCCGTACACCGGTCCCCTGTCCTCCACTGCTCTGTTCTATTGGAACTTTTGGCCACGTGTGCACATGTACCTGGCATAGTTTTCAAGCTGCCAGGCATGGGACCGAACCATGCAGCAAGCTATGTGGGCTCCAGCTCCATTAATCACTGGGCCATGGGGTGGCTCTCATTTTGTAGTTTTTGTTAGTATTTCATTTCTTTTTGTGGCCAGATTATACTGTATTGAATGGATACACTACATTTGTTTATCCATCCATCAGCTGATGGACAGTTGACTTATTTCCATTTTTTGGCTCTCACGAAGATGTGAGATAGGATAGGTAGTATGCGAACTGGCCACTGTGGAGGAATGGGAGGGGCAGAAGAGCCACAAAACTGCCAGATTTGGAAACATGAAGTATGGTACTAATTTGCCCAGTTGTGTTTGTTTCTATAAACAGCACTCAGCTACCTGTACGTAAGAATGTAGGAGGTGAGTAGTTTGGTTCATTTCTATTTTATAGACCAAAAAAAGGAAAAAAGAGAAACGAAAAAGAAAAAGAGACAGATCATCTTAATGACCTTACAGATGGAGAAAGGTCATTGAGGGTGCGAGTAGGAGATTGGTTAAAATAATGTGCCATGAGGGCAACAGAGCTGTCAGTGAAAAACAGGAAGGAGTCCAGGAGTGGGACAAAGCAGCGTAAAGTTCCCTCAATTCTCTCTCTTTTTTTTTTTGATGTCATCTCTGAACTAACGCTTCATACCACCTCCTGTCAGAAGCTTTTTCTGGGTCTTCTCTAGTCCAAATGCTCCCCTAGGCCATGAGTTCCTTTATGATTTAACATACAGCTAATTTTCCGTTACTATAACCAAACTGGTATATTAATTGAAGTACCTCTCGTTCTTTGTGGATTTCTTTCAGTCTTTACATGTCCCTTCTTGACTTGAAGTTTTCTTTCTTATCTTCTTGCTAGCCAGGTCCTGTCTTTCTTTTAAGGTCCTGTTTAAGTTCTACCCTCTCTAGAATATCTCACTCTGTGTGAATCCTTAATGGTTTCTACTCTTATTCCTAGTACTTTAGTTTGGTGCAGTTTTTTTTTTTAAGAATTATTTTTTATTTCACTTTATTTGTTTATTTTTATTTTAGTTTGACCAGAGAGAGGGATCGAGTGAGAGAGAGGAGAAAGGGAGAGTGAGAAAGCAAGCCATCAGGTCTGGGACTTGAACCGCAGTCGGCCATGTGGGAATCCAGCACCCCTAACCACCACACCACCCACCGGGCCCATGGTGCAGTATTTACTTACTGATTAACTTCTAGTACCCTGTTAATTTCTGAACTCAAGGACTTTACAGTCTCATGGAAAAATTAGTCAAGTAAACTGTGGTATGAGCTATTCTAGATGTGAATATATATCGTACAGAAGAATAAAGTTTTAAACTTCATTTTCCCATCTGCATTTGTTTAAGATAATACTTTGTTCGGCCCATATCACTGTAAAATCAGCATTCTCCTTAGGCAAATCTTCCAAATTACTGAAGCTAAGTTCTTTACTATGATTGTGTATCTGTGAGTAAATGTGTATATGATGATCTTCACATTTCTCAGCTAGTAAAACAGGCTGAGGTCACTCTTGCGACCTTTTCTACAAATGCTGTATCACATCTCTGAATCTTTTTTCCTAGCTTTCAGTTTTCCAGTGTGTTCATTCCCAAATGAAATTCACCTGGTCCAGTACTCCTACTTTGCCTGATTTGTTAACACAACTACCTGTTTTTCTTTCATTGGCATACCATTTATACGGATGCCTGCATTGGGTGGTCAAGCAGAAATCTGTTCTTTCTTGAGACATGTTTCTTTTGTGCTTTATAGGGAAACCATCTTTATATGGCAGCCTAACTTGTCAGGGAATTGGCCTGGATGGCATTCCAGAGGTTACAGCGTCAGAAGGATTTATTGTAAATGAAATAAACAAGGTAGGTTTCTATGTCTATATTATCAAAACTATGATGATACTCTTAACAATCTTGTAGGATTGGCTTTTTTTTTTTTTTTTCCAGAGACTTTTTTTGGTATAAGGCACATTCACTCCCCAGAGACACAGAGAGACAGAAAGCAAGAAATAACCCCCCGGAGGCGATAGCCTTGCTGCAATCCCTTCTCCTTTGTTCTTGTCTCAGGATTTGGGGCATGCATGCATATGTGCCTGATGTCAATTTCAAGCCACTGGGTCCGGGACTCGAACTGTGGCTCAGCCATGTGGGAGTCCAGTGACAAAACATTACGCCATCTGCTGGTTATGGGATTGATATTTTTAAAAATATTATTCTTTTTATTGCCAGTGGACACATGTGCAAGAGAGAGAAAGAAAGTAAGCAACCCCCAATGGGGCACAGTCATGCTGAGGTCCCTTTTCCTACATTTCTTCTTCCTGTCAGGATTTTGGGTACACATGCATATGTACCTTGTGGGTTTCTCAAGCTGCTGGGGCCAAGATTCAAACCATGTCCCGTCATGTGGGATCTGACCCAGGTACAGCACTCAACCACTGTGCTACAGGGCTAGCCCTACAAGATTGGCATTTTAAATTTCCATTTTGCAGGTAAGCAAATAGATTCATAAAATAATCTCTAATAAGTGAAGTCATGTTCACTCAGTATACTAGGACTGAAACCTAGTTCTGTTGATTCCAAATTTAAAGCCTACATTCCCACCTTAAAGCCTACGTTTTCCGGAGGTGTTTTGCCAATATCCATCCACAGCCTAGGTGCTAATTTCTTTCTTCCCTTCATACTCAGACCTGAATATAATCCTTATCTCTTCAAACACCGTTGCTAATTTCTGCTGTGAACCTGCTGGGTGGGTTCAAACAGTAAGTGCTTATGGTTGAACACTCATTTGTTTCCTAATTGCCATGAGTCACTTTGCTATTTGATGTTGCTACTTTGTTCTGTTAAATAATAGATCTATCATTTTGCTTAAATGCCTAACCCTTGAGGATTAAAAATTTGACTCTGAATTTTGTGTAGTGCACTCACACTTTTCCTCGTGAATCTTGTCTGTTTTGATATTTCCTGCAATTTTTTGTTAAAATATTTTTATTAATAGCATGATTGTCTACTGCCGAAATTGGAAGGTAGTTCAACATTTTTTCTTCTTCCATAGTCTATTTGTGGATTAAAGATTAATTTGCAGGATTGATAAATAAGAGAAAAGCACTGACTCTTGAAATATTTTACATAATTAGCCCCAAAGAAATGAAGTCTTTGGAGAGCAGACCCAGTTCTTACAGAGGCCTGAACACTGAGCTTTTGGAGCCCCTTGCATCTTTGCTGTGTGAATATGCAGCCAGGAGAGTGTAGCTGACACTTTGCTTTCTGGTTCAGGAGGCAGTTCCAAATCTAGGTCAACTCTCTTGCAGCTATATGCGCTTTGTCAAGTGGTTAGAAGCAAAAACTCATTTAATGAAAGGCCTGTAGGAGCCAGGCATGGATATACTGGCTAAGAAAGTACTGTTTGTATAGATAATAATTATTTTTTTTAAAGAGGTTTTTGACATAGGATGCATGCCCTTGCCAGAAAGACAGAGAAACGGAAAGCAAGAAATCACTCCCAGGGGGGATGTCCACACCACAATCCCTTCTCCTCCATTCTCGTCTCAGGATCTTGGGCACACATGCACACAAGCCTGGCATGAGTTTAAGTCATAAGGTCCGAGACTCGAACCGCAGTCGATTATATGGGAATCCAGTAGCATAGCCATTACGCCAACTGCTGGTCCCATGTATAAATAATTCTAATTGCCTTTTTTTTTTTTTTGAGAGGTTTTTGCTATGGGGCGTGTGCACTCGCCAGACAGAGAGAGACATAGGGACAGAAAGCGAGAAATCACCCCCCAGGGGGGATGGTCACGCCGCAATCCCTTCTCCTCCATTCTCCTCTCGGGATCTTGGGCACGCACGCACACACGCCCGGCGTGAATTTTAAGCCACTGGGTCCGGGATGCGAACTGCGGTCGACTACATGGGAGTCCAGCGACATAGCCGTTACGCTAACTGCTGGTCCCTAATTGCCTTTTAAAAGGAGTTGTGACCTGCAGCAAGAGCATGTTGATTTTCAGTGACGAGACTGTTAGGATTTTGAGGCTGTTCTTTGTAATGAACTGTGAGGACCTGTGCTTATTGGATATAAAGAGTTTCAGGAAATCTTGATTATTAAAAATCATTTTTATTGTTCTATAGGACTTCTAGAAACTTTGAAGTACTATAGATGAAGTTTAGGGGCCCATTGATGTGAGCAGTCCCTCAGCTACACACTTAGGTGGTAGTATTGATTTTCTGCTAGTTAGAGTGAGGTACTGTCATATTGCAAGTATCCTTGAGGAAGGATATACCAAGACTTTTATGCCTCTGCAGAGGCTACCTTGATGCCAACATTACTTAATCTAAAATGGTTACAAAACACCTTTAGCAAGTTTGAACCTAATATCTGAATCTAGATACACTTTCCTATTCTTCCAATATTATCTTGCCACAGTAGCTGAAACATGATAATGTGTAGGCATAAGCTATGGGCTTTGAAATACTGCTGTGTGACTGTGATCAGTCTGTGAACTGAACGGTCAGTTTAAGTCCTGAGAGGGAAGGGGCCCTGTAAGTTTGTCCCTCTAAAAAAAAAAAAAAAAAAGATAATGGCATCTCAATGATACCAAATTCTACTGCAGCCCTCTGCAGTAAAACTCAGCCCTCTGCTGAGTTACAGGGGAATAGTAGTTTTGTGACTGGGGAAGGAAGATGAGAGAGGGTACACTTAAAGGATGAGAATTTCTTGTCCTAATGTTTTCTTTAAGAGGTTTTAATTGCATTGAAGTAGATTTACTGATGGATTTTTTCTTTTCCTCTTTGTTTAGAAAAGCATTCATATTTCATGTCCAAAAGAAAGTGCATCTTCTAAGTTTTTGGCACCATACACTACTTTTCCCAGAATTCATACAAAGAGCGTAAGTATTTTGGTAAAATGAAGAGAAAATAAAATAACATGTTAATTTTTCATTTTATGTGCCTACCTAGTGCTATAAACATACTCATATATAATGTGTTTTTCATTTATCTTGAATTGTAAGATAGTACAGCTAATGAGTGTAATGTGTTTGCAAAATTGAGACGTGGGTCCGCATAGAATATGTGTACAAGTCTACTCACTGGCAGTCTTAGAGACTATGGAATTTTCTTACATATTTTAGCAGAGCTACTTATCAGCTTTTGGATAATGATATAATAGATGATGCTTATGTAAAATGCCCTTGCTCATATTTTATTCCTTTGCCTTTAGGGCAAGGACATTTTCTTAAAACTCCAAAATTACCATATTGAGGAATAATTTTCAGAGGTCTTTGTAATAAAATCCTCCTCTCACCATGAGGTTCATAGAAACAGAAGTGAGGAGTTGCTGAATGAACTCATTATGTTCAAGTCCTTCATTTTCTGTGTGTTACCTTTTTAAAAAGAGCTGTTTTTTATTTTTTTTTCAAATTATTATTTTATTTTATTTTATTAATTTTTTTTTGGAGAGGATTTTGTTATAGGGCACATGTGCTCACCAGAAAGGCAGAGAGAGACAGAGAGACAGAAAGAGAGAAATCACCCCATGAGGAGATGGCCACGCTATAATCCCTTCTCCTCTGTTCTCCTCTAGAGATCTTAGGCACGTACACACATGCACATGGCGTGAGTTTAAGCCACCGGGTCCGGGACTTGAACCGTGGTCCACTACATGGGAGTCCAGCAATGTAGCCATTATGTCAACTGCTGGTCCCAAATTATTATTTTATTTATCATTATTACTATTTTTAAAATTTGCTACAGGGTACATACACTTACCAGAGAGGGACAAAGAGGGAAAGCAAGAAAGCAAGCCACCAATTCTGGGACTCAAACTGTGGTCAAGCTATGTGGGAGTCCAGTGCCTTAACTACCACGCTGCCTGCTGGCCTCAAAAGAGCTATTTTTTTTACCTTATTGCAAAATAAATATATATTTAATGTTGAAAATTTAGAAAATATACAAGCAACAAATCACTCATCTTTTTAAAGATAACTGTTGCCAACTTTTTGTTTGTTTGTTTGTTTTAGTTTTTGCTTTAGAGCATGTGTGCTCACAGGGGAGAGAGAGGGAAAGTGAGAAAGCAAGCCACCAGGTCAGTGATTTGAACTGCGGTCAGCTATGTGTGAATCCAGTGCCTTTAACCTCCACGCCACTGGCTGGCTTCCTTTTTTTCTTATTTTTAAAGAATTATTATTGGTGGGGACCAGCAGTTAGAACAATGGCTATGTCGCTGAACTCCCATGTAGTCGACTGCAGTTCGAGTCCCAGACCCAGTGGCTTAAACTCATGCCAGGTGCGTGTGCGTGCGTGCACAAGATCCCGAGAGGAGAATGGAGGAGAAGGGATTGTGGCATGGCCATCCCCCCTAGGGGGTGATTTCTTGCTTTCTATCTCTCTGTGTCTCTGTCTTTCTGGCGAGCACATATGCCCTATAGCAAAACCTCTCCAAAAAAAAAAAGAATTATTTATTGGGGCCAGCAGATAGTGTAATGGTTACATCGCTAGACTCCCACATGACCAACTGCAGTTCGAATCCCAGACCCAGTGGCTTAAAAACTCATGCTGGGCACGTGTGTGTGCACGCCCAAGATCCCAGGAGAAGAATGGAGGAGACTGTGACGTGGCCATCCCTCCTCAGGGGTGATTTCTCGCTTTCTGTTTCTGTTTCTCTCTCTCTGGCGAGCTCACATACCATATAGAAAAAAATCATTAAAAAAAAAAGAAAAAAAAGAAAAAAGAATTATTTAATTTATTATTATTATTTTTTAACTTGACCATAGAGAGACAGAGAGAGAGGGCAAGTGAGAAAGCAAGCCTCCAGGTCTGGGCCTGGAGCTATAGTCAGCCATGTGGGAGTCCAGTGGCTCAACCACCATGCCACCTGTCAGCCCCCACTTCATCCTCATTAATTACACAGTGTAGTGTGTAAGAGCACTGATTCTGGTGCCAGACCCCTTGTATTTGAATCCTGGTACTGCCAGTTAGTAACTGTATGATCTTAAGCCAGTTACTTCATCTCCCTGTGCCTTAGTTTTCTCTTCTCTAAAAGAAGAGTAAAGGTAATTTTTATCTCTTAATATTGTTATGAAGTTTCAAGCAATTAAAATAGAATTTTAGAACCTAGTAACACTGTAAGTATTGGGCCTGGCAGGTGGCATGGTGGTTAAGGGCACTGGACTCCCACATAGCCGACCATGGTTCAAGTCCTTGACCTGGCAGCTTGCTTTCTCACTTTTTGTCTCTCTCTGTCCCTTTCTGCTCAAATTAAAATTAATTAATTAATTAGTTCTTAAAAAATACTGTAAGTGTTTATTAAATAAGACATGTAGTTTTTCTTTAAATTCTAGTACTTTAGATTTTTGTATTTCAATTTAAAAATGATTAGCAAGCATTATAAGCAGTACATCATTTGCCCTTCTGACTTAAATTATCATCTTATTCTGATATTTAGGATTGTCTCATTGATCTGTCTGTTCTTTTCCTGTGACTAAGTAGATCTTTAGCTTTGGACTCTGTCCTAGGTTTATATCCTGGTTCTTCTACATCACCTTGAGGAAATTACTTAATAACCCATTAGGCTCCAGATTCCTCATCTGAAACATGAGAATAATACTTTACTTACAGATTTTTAGGAGGTTATATTAGGTGGGTCTGTTACATGCCTGGCACATAATAGATACTCTGTCAATGTTAATTCCCTCTCTTCTTTTCCTCTAACCAAAGTTTGGATTAAGAGGATAACTGGTGTGACCTATAATCTGTTCTTCAATTCTTATCACTTTAGAAGAAATAGAAGTTCAGACTTAATTTCCTTTTAGGGCTGGGACCTGGGGCCCCAGGGGTAAGTAACAAAGATAAAGAGCACAGTGTGCCTGTTCGGGGACAGTATATTACCTGAGAGGAGATGTAGTACATGAGATCAGGGTTTCTCAGCTTTGTCACTGCTGACATCTTGCACTGTATTTAATGTATGATGTTTAGCCTGACCTCTCTCTATGTGATGTCAGTGGGACTCCCCCCGCCCCCCCCAAGTTGTGACTATAGGAAGTATTTCCAGATATTGCCAGATGTGCCCTAGGGAAAAAATTCACCCCTGGCTGACAGCTACTGAGAGTATGAACATGGTGTTGAGAACTACTGAGGGAGGTCACGATGAGCCTCATGGAGGAGCCAGCAAAGCCAGTCAACTTTGGAAGAGTAGGTCATTTAAAAGATCATTAACAGGGTCCATTTTCTTATTTCTCTTATTTGCACTTAAAAGAGATGATTCACCCATTTATTAATCACCTCCTGTATGCCAGGTACCCTTCTGCTAGTTGAGCTATAAAGAGGAATAAAATGCCTTTGTCGAGCTTATATCCTAGGGGTGTGGGACCAGATAGGATTTGTTAATGACTTGGATGGGGTTCTGAGAATTAAGAGAGGTATCTTAATTTTAAAATAAAATAACAAAAGGTGAAAACTATAGAAATAATGTGGTGATAGGGAAAACTTTTTAGCTGACAAAGGAGAGTACAGATGACTATAGGACTATCTTTTTTATTTTATTTATTTATTTTTTTAAGGTTTTTGCCATAGGGTGTGTACACTTACTGGAGAGAGACAGAGACAGAAAGGAAGTGAGAAATCATCCCCTGAGATAGTGACCACATCTCAATCTCTTCTAGTCTCCTCTTGGGATTTTGGGCATACACACACACATGCCTGGCATGATTTTCAAGCTGCTGGGTCTGGGACTTGAACTATGACCAGCATATAGGATTCCACTGCCTTAACTACCATGCCACCTTCTGGCCCCTTAATAATTTATTTTAAACAAAATACTGTTTATTTGTTCCATGAGCAAGAGACAGAGACAGCACCCCCAATAGGGTGTTGCTGCTGCGATTCAGCTTCAACCAGCCCTGGATCATGGGCACAGACATGTCTGATAGACTTACTCAGGCAGGTCTTCAGACGAGAACCCAGAACCTTCTCATGTGGGTCAGCCTCACAGAGCATTATGTTTTACTGCTGCACCACCATCCAACCCCCTATAGGAATGCCTTTTTGTTTTGAGAAGCAAAGTGTTGGCTCTAGCTTTGTTGGGAGGTTGGTGATGATAATCCAGCCTTCATATCAAATGCATGCCCTTTGTGTTTGAAAACATAGGTGTGAAGTCTTGGAGGAGTACTAAACAAGGAGGCTTTATAATATATTTCATTTTGTTCATCATAATATTGATTGTTTTGTCTTTGGGACAGATAACATGCCTGGACATTTCCAGTGGAGGAGGCCTCGGTGTGTCTTGCAGTACTGATGGGAGCATGAAGATCTGGCAGGCTTCTAATGGAGAACTCAGAGTAAAGGACTTAGATTCTTTTAGGGTCTCGTTCATGAAGGGTAACCTGAGAAACCCTGGGTTGGCTCACAAAA